CAACCGCCTGCTTTATAACCAATATATATATATATATACATACGTATATGTATATGAATAATGTATATGTATATGCACATGTACAAGTACATGTATACGTATCTGTATATGTTTATGTACATGCATATGCGTATGTACATGTATATGTATATGAAAAGGTATAGGTATAAATATATACACTCATGCATACACATGTAAATGTGAACAGGTATGCATTGACATGCTTTTATATCATACATATGTTCGTAACAATGAACATGTGTAGGCATGCCGACACACAACAATCTATCTCTCGCTCTCTCTCTCTCTCTGTTCTCTCTCTTTCTCTCCTCGCTCTCTCTGTCTCTCTCTCTCTCTCTGTCTCTGGGCGTGGTCATGGGACATGCATGCAGCCATACGCAGCCTTTCTCTTTGTTTGATTTCCTTCTTTCGATCCAAGTCTGTCTCGGTCTCTCTCTCTCTCTCTATCTCTCTCCCCTCGCATCGACGGTCTGTTGCCTAGCCTACCGTATAGAGTTGAGGGCCGTTGCTGTCGAGATTCATCAGTTCTCACTCCGAAGCCATGGACTCACATCTGAGTCCCTGTCCCAGCGAGGTGCGAGGACGGCGTTCAGAAACTGCTTCTAAACCAGGCCCGGTTTGCAAAAGCTTGCGTCTACTTAAAGGAAGTGGGGTATCGGTCTGGGCCCGCAGAGGAGGTGCACGGGCCAGGACAGGAGTTTTCGCTGCGCATCATGGGCCAGTTGAGCACTCTGTTGGCTTCCTCAAGACTGAAGCCCTGGCGACTTGTTCCAGTTAAACCTGAACCGTCGGGCCCTTGAGCTCAAGATGGTCACCAGAGACGCGTCAGGTGGAAAACAGCAACCTGGCGGGGGCCGGCGGCGAGCTCGGCGAGCTCGGGCCGGATATGCGGGTTTGCTTCCAGGAGGGGGTTGTCTTCTGTTTCCGGCTTCGTTTCGAAGAAAGGCCAACCGTCGCCTCAACCGACTGTTCTGGGCTGCCTCTGCACGTTGGTGTATCCAATTTGCTGTTGTTTTGCTCTCTCTTCCTGGTCGGTGGCGATGGTGGCCTGGATGGCCGGAAGTCAGCATAGTCTACGTTGTAAACGTAGTACATGCACCATATGCTGCGTCGGCCGAACGACCACCGCCAGAGGCATGACACAACTCGCAGGAACTGTTGGCGCACGTGCCATGAGACCCAGTCCATTCCTTAAACGTGCTGCATACTAGGCCCGGACTCAAGCGGCGAAGAAAGCCTCGTCTTCGACGAGGCATTCAAGCTTTCGGAGCTGTACATCATCGGCTCAACAGTTTGCAGATCCCGTTCTTCGGATGGGATTCCGGGTTTTTCGGGGGTGCATTCATGTTCCGACCCCAGGCCGGCATCTTTGATGACTTGTTGAGGCAGCATGAGAAGAGACCCACACAGTCTCGTCTGCGCCGTCTCTCTTGCATCGCTGACTCAGAAGCCTTCTTTACCATCTTAAGTCTGGCGAGGAGCCCGGGAAGATCTTAAGTCTCGGCGCTCGACGAGACGGCCAGACTTAGCAACAACCCGAAGTTTGAGATCCTACCAAGCCTGCAGCAACTCGCATCTCTTCCTTTAGAGTCTCGGGGTTCAGACTGTCCACGCAGGTCGCATACTACCGAGGAAGGAAGCTACAGCTGAAACTAGGCAGGCCTTGCACATGTCCGGTGGGGAAGGAAGCATTGGGTGCTCTTGGCTTTGGAGTCGGCTTGAGGCGCTGTGGCGAGTTGACGCGGGTTGAGAGTCAGGGCGGACAGAGCCCAAATTTGTTAACTGACACCAATGTCGACAAGAAATTGTCCTGCCCGGCTTTCCCTTGCCCGAAGGCCAAGAAGCAGCCCCAAAACCGAAAGCCACTTCCGTGCCCCATGTTACCACCTGTGCAGCTGCCGACGGCTCCTACGACCCACAGAATGTGGCCCAGAATGGGGTGTTGGGCTGAGAAGGGAGGATGATTTTCTTGAAAGTAGTCGGTCGGCAGGGATTGGAGGCTTTCGGCTTTTGATGCCAAGTGTTTGTCAAGGCGGCCACAGACGAGTACTTGGGCCGCGTCAACCTGATGCCTGCGACCCAGCGGTTGTTTCTCAGTCAATGTCACCAGGGTCGGGCGTGGGGCTGGCAGTGCGAGCTATTCTGCGCGACATCCCTCCACTGACACCCGACCGACACAGACCACTTGACACTTTGAGCAAAAGCCATCGAGGTCCGGCTCTTCCGTGGAGCTCAAATACTCCTTTGTCGACGCGGAGACGCAGGAGGAGGCAATGGCTTCAGCGCTTTGCGAAAGCTGTGTTTCTTTCGGTCTTGTCTTGGAGAGCCTGTAGCTCATGGCTCCAGAACCCGGAATCCCTCAACCCTGAAGAGCACCTCGCCGTCCAAGCGACTGGGACGAACGGCCAAAACGGGGTCTCTCAGCCCAGACTCTTTCCACAACTACACGGCCCTCCACGACATCCCCAAAAGCCAAAAGCCTTCTTTCAGCTGCTCGGGCATCCCCGAGTATTTCGCTCTGCCAGGTGTCCCTCCCGCGTGTGAACCTGACTTTCTACGCCCTCAATGTGGCCACACAGCAGGTGATCTCCGCCAGTGGCCCGACACCCGGGCTGCCTTCTTGAGGTGATTAAAGTGCTTTGTTTTTGGGGACTCTTCGGTGGCCTGCGGCCTGTAATCGTTGCTGCAATCAAAGGCTTTCCGGCGTCAACTTGCGAAATCACCTTGCGGCTTGAGGTTACAAGAAGACCTATGCCTCAGAGGGCATCTTCAAGAAGGCGTGCCGTCCCAACGTCTCGCCTTCGAACTTCTGAATGCGCGTGTGCCTGGTACGAGGACTATTCGGACCACGGCGTCTCATTCTCCTCCGGCAATCCTTGCATCGCACCCGGTGTTGGAGCAGGGGGGTTTTGGACGCTCGTGGTTGTCATGGGGTGTGTTCTGAAGAGCATCACCCGACACTTGCTTCTGCGGCCATGTACGGCTCGAGTCAGCTGCGCCTTCCGTCCACTCCAAACTGGAGCAGGGACTGGAGGCAAGGAGAGCTGCAGAGCACAAACGGAGGGAGCCCACTCGGGCCCCAACCCACACGGTCCCAGCCCGAAGCCTGTGCACCAGGCCACGCCGCAGGGATGCCGATCGTCCGGCTCTCGGCTTTGTGCATCTCTTGGGCCCCAAGGTTTGAGGCTTTGATGTTGAGGTTGCGGGTTGCCAGAGGTCATGCCAAGAAGCCCTTGAGTCTTCGCTCGCTTGCTTCTTTCTATTGCAATCCCTTGTCTTCGATTTTCGAGCCATGACCCACGCTCGTGCAACAGTCCTGGAATCTGGAACCCTAGCCATGCCCTGCCCATGTTCATGTGGCGGGCATGGCGGGCAAATGCGGGCAGGTTGAAGGTCTGCTCTCGTCTGTCGTTGTTTGGTGCTTAGCCTTGAGATTGGCTTTGCCGAAGGTGAAGGCGTTGGTGGACTTCGCGGAAGGATGGTTCGATCCCAAACAGGTGGATTAGTTGGAAATCAAGGGCTGTCGTCGTGGCTTTGAGGTGGCCTTCAGGGTTCTCAGCCTCGGCCTCGAAGCTGGCTCCGAGAGAAACCTTCGCGTCGAGCTTGTGCTGTTTGGGTTCGCAGGAGGGGCTGCGAGTTGCACGGTCGTGACCTTCAGGGAGTACGGACTCCACATGTATTTATGATGTGAAGACAACTTACCAGGCAATCAATCATTTTCGTGTTTGTGTGCTGGGGCGGTGTGTGTATGTCTGCATAAACACTTTCACACACATGTATACAACGACACAGTCATGCATGCATTGAGGCAGGTACGTGTGTGCCTACGTGCATGTACCTGCTATGCCATGCATGGCTCATTTGCAAACTCGTTTTTAATGGACAGGCAATGTGAGGATTTGGCTTCGGGATTCTTCTGGGACGGTGGCCGTGGAAAGACAGCATTGGGCAGGCAGTGGTGCCGAAGAAAAAGAAGAAGCCCGATGACAAGCACCTAGTCCTGATCTATTCCAGAGAGTCTGGCGTGCAGAATGCTGTCGGGGCTGTCAAGCAGCTCTTGGCCTTCCATGCTCCAGGCTTCATGTTGGCAGGTCGCCGGCAAAGCACCAAGCACGGCTCATCTTGGCTACGGTCAGGGTTTAAGAATTGAGGGAGTTCTAAGTATTTTTGTCTTCGGTTCAAAGGTCCTAAGGGGTCTGCGAAAGTTCAGCAAAAGACGGTGTGAAAGCCAAACCTGTTCCGCGAAAGTTTATCAACACGCTGCACGATAGCAATCTCGTGCTCCCGGCTTTGGCGTTGTTGGGTCTGTGCTTGTGAGTGAGCCTTGAAGCTGAAGGGGTCGTGACCTTGCGAGCCCTGATCCTTGATTCTGATGAACCCGCAGCAGCAGTCTTTGCATCTTGCACACGCACAAGTCGAAAGTTCTGCGAGGCGTTTCCCTCGCGCCAGTTGGATTCCTCCGGTTTTGTCTCGGGTCTCTAACAGCTCGCGACAAAAACATTACTGTCGGGTTTAGGGCAGATCTGATGCTCGGCCTTCGGTCAAAGCGAAGGGGCCCGTGAAGCCAAGGTCCAAGGCTGCTAACAGCAATGAGCCGTCGAATCTGAAACAGGCGGACGTAGAGGCGGGTTGGGCTGTGCGTCTTGGAGACAGGGGGCTAAGATGCAATGCTACATGTGGACGAGGAGTTTTGGAACAGATGCAAGGGGAGGAGATACTTGCTGTAGTTGTCTTGTCGTGCTATAGGACATAAGGGGGCTAATGTTGAAGCGTTCCAAAAGGAATTTAATTCGTCTTGAGAGTACCAAGCGAAGAAGACGGACGTTGATAATTCAATTATGCAGCTCACCTGCAGGAGTCACGGCAGGTTGATGTTGATATTTGCTCACACGGATCAACAGCTACGGTGAGTTAGGGTCATGGGCAAGCAGTGTCCAGTCCAAAATGCTGCATAAGGTCGTGGTCCAATCTGGGGCATCTAGGGTCTGTTCGGTTAACTTGAAGATGGCTGAGAGGGCAGGTATCACACGAGCTTGGGTGGGACCTCAACTCCAAGACCAGAGTCTCTAACGCCTCAAATCCCAAATTCCAGCGAAGGGCGGCGAGAAGCCGCCGGGCGAGGAGGAGAAGAAAGGCCGCTCAAGGGCTGCCGGTTTCTGTACGGTGTGAGCATGTCCAGCACCAGTACTACCAGTGCTCTACCAGTAGTATGGGGAAGTGCTCTTCACCGCTCCCCGCACGACCGGATACAACTTCTGCCTTGCAACTCCAACGCCACCACCACCAGCGCCAGGATGAGTACCACCACTCTGGCCGGTGCAACGTAGAACTGAATTTATATGAGAACACATAGCATAGTCACAGTCCGAGCTCTTCTGGTTATGGTGTTCCGGCACCTGGGATGGTGGGATGGTGGGGGCCCGGAGGTGCTGGTTGCGTCACGGCTGGGGCTGCACGGGAGCGGTGCTGCGGTGTGGTGGAGCTGGTGCAGACATCTGATCCTCCTGGGTGCCGCATCGGGCCCATCTCGCATCGTAGTGTCCGCCACACGTGCCGATACTGCGTTTTGCCGACTTGTACAGTGGCTTTTGCAGGAGGATCAGGAGGAGGATAAGGATGAGGATGAGGGTGCAGATGAGATCGAAAAGGTGATGGAAAAGACGATGAAGATGCGGATGAAGATAGTGATCTTCCAGGAGATGCTGAAGCAGCTGGTACTTGCCTGTAGTACCACCAACACAAGTTAAGCGTCAAGGAAATTCCCGTTCTGCTGATCAAGTACGGGCCATTAAGTGGCACTCATTGCACCACTCACGTAGATTACCTAGGCCCCACGCTGTCTCGAATCCACAACACCGACGAGATTTCTGCAATCTTTATCGGGTCAGAGTTGTTCTCTGCAAGCCGCGCAAAATGCTGGATCTGCCATTCAGTCTCGCAGGGCCGCGAGGTCGAGGATAAGAAATACATAAGTCCATGGATCTCATTCAAGTTCATCACGGTTTTGGTTCCATGGGCCATGCGACTTCAGCGTTTAGAGCTCGGAGGCTGGGCTTTGCATTTCTGGACCCGCAAGCTTCGTGTGCGAGATGCCAGGAGAGGAGTCTGGCTGGACCCTGGATCGGGATGGTGACGGTGACGTAGATATGGATGCATCCTGGCAGAATGCCCCTGGCAACTGCTCATCATTGCTCCACTCTATGTGCGCAGATTTCTGCAAACTTCAGGGTCATGACGGCGACTGGTTCCTGAGACAAATGAGCGCATCAGGAATCACCATCCGAGGCCCAGTCTTGTTTCAAGAGCCCCGAAACAGTTTGCGAGGGAATGCTGGGGCCCTCGAACCAGGGGCTTGAAGCTGTGCAAACATTTCAATTTTCAGATTGGCGTTCCAGGTGCAGGTGCAAGGATTTCCTGCCTGCACTCTGAGGATTTGATGGCTCTGGCTGAAGCAGATGTGGACGGAGAAGAGGCTCAAGAATTGCAGACTTTTTGTCTATGTTATGATCATGGTGATGCCGATGATTCCTCTTCGTACTTCTGTTACTGCTGTTGTGACATCGTCTTCTTAGCATGATGTACTATTCCTGCTCCTCCCCTTCCCCCGAGCACGACGACAACAGCAACTTCTATGACAATTGCTTCGACTTGCGATTACTACGGCTACCGACCACAATCACCAAACCAACCACCAGAACCACCAGAGCCACTAGAACCAGCGGAGCCACCAGAACCACAGCAACTTCCTGAATTACTGGAACCACCGAAACCAACACCACCACCACTGCCCACCGTGCCGACCGCTTGTACCACCATCCTCAACGTCACCATCATGATGGCGTCACCATCATGATGGCCATCATCATGTTGTTCGTGATTCTTTGCCTTGCTTTGGAAAGGAGAGTCCATCTGCCCCCATGGTCATGAGATGGGTCAAATTCGGTCAAATCACCATTAGCATCATCTCCATGATCAGCTCAAGCACCATGATCGGAATAATCGTCATGTTCGTCGTCCTCACCGGCTTAATCACCATCCTCATCACCATCATCACCATCACTACCATCACCACCACCATCATCATCAACATCAACATCAACATCAACATCAACATCAACATCATCATCATCGTCGTCATCATCACCACCATCATAATCACCGTCGTTATCGTCCCTATCACCACCACCACCATCGTCATCATCTTCATCACCATCACGCTTACCATCCTCATTGCCATCATCACCACCATCACCATCACCATCACCACTACCACCAGCAGCAGCAGCAGCAGCAGCAGCAGCAGCAGCAGCAGCAGCAGCGCCAGCAGTATAGCTGCAGCACTAGCAGTAGCGAGACCAGCAGTAGTGGTAGCTGTTGTTGTGGTGGTGGT